CCCCAAAACCCCAAAACCCCAAAACCCCATGATTCATAATTGGAAATGTAGAAAAAATTTTTATGAGAGAAGAATATGAATTAGCTCAAATGAGTTTGAACTAACTGAGTTTATTGGTAAGAGTCTCAAAATACTCGGGAGCCTTGGGAACATCTACTTTTAATTCTTCGAGATAATGCTCAGTTTTTTTCACTCCCATTTCAATCTAAAAAATGATTAAACGTGTCTTTAATTGGTTGTTACTTGATCTTTAAAGAAGCTGAATCTGTGGTTTAGATTAACTATTAATTTTATAATTGAGTCAAAAAGCTCTTCCTATGACTATAAAGATTAATAAGCATTATAAAACAAATACCTTTTCAATAGTAGCAACAAGGGCTCTTTTGATAAATTCATGATAGAAAAAGGCACAATCCAATTCTTTCAAATAATTGCCAACATATTCAATGTCCTAGGTAGCAAAGTATTCATTAATGAGATTCTTGAATTTTTTAACTGCCTCTTAATTGCTTAGAGTTTGATTCCAAATGTTCTTCATGTGATAATCTATTGGTACAACAGAAAGAATATTTAAAACAGACTACAGAATTTCTTCCTCTCCTTATGAGTCATTTGGCTATAAGATACATTAAATCATTTCTGCAGCTTACCAATGTGACTTCTGCATCAGTAATATATCTATAGGTCACGGCTCCTTCATAAATAGCTTTGGCAATGAATTGAGATAATAGTTTGGAGAAATGAGGCACATCAATATCATAGTCAGAATGATTCTATAAAGTTTTAATCAATGGAAATATGATTTACCCAGACAAGCTAATCAAATGCATACCCGAAGTCATTATTGCAGAATGAAAATTCTTGAGTACATTCTCTCAACAGCTTGCTGCATTCTTCTTTTTCATTGCTATTTTTATCCATTGCCATATCTATAGCCTTTCTTATGAATAAATAGTTAAACATATCCCATTTCTTTTTCGGTATTTCCTCCCCTAGGAACTACTTGATTTCTGAGTCATCAAAACTTATATAGTATTATTTCAATAGCCCCTTTATTCTTTCTCTGTATTCCTATTCAGTTTCAAGAATCTCAAGTTCTTTAGAGAAATGCTCTTTAAAACTTTCTTGGCTAAAAATTAATGCTCTCAGTTCGGTTGGGACTTAACTGAGTATCTTATTAGAGATTGTGGATCTCAAATGCATGAATACCATAATTTAAGCTAGAACTTGGTTGGCTTTGGGGTAGTCGAGCATTATATCTTCCAATCTCCAGAATAACCTTACCAAACCTCTTCTTATTTGCTGCTTGGTGATAAATCCATCAGTAAATACATTTTTTACTATATCAGCTATTTCCCTTGGCTTTACTTGTTCAATAGCAACCTGAAACAATCTCATCAATAATATGGATCTATATTATGGCTCCTCAACTTCTTAGAGATTTTATTCAATAGTCTCAATTCCTCTCTAGATGTTTACTTCTGATCGTTTAAGGATTCTCTCAGCGATCTTTCTAGATTCTGCTAAATATTGTTCATAATTATCCAAGGTAAATTTGAATCTGTGCCCTTTCAGAATTTACATTAGAGTCTCCTCATTCATAGGATGAGGCTTCTTGCCAGCCACATCTTCGAGCTCATCTGACTTTAAGGCGATCTTTTTTCTTTCCTCTGCTAATTCTTTCTAGTATTCATCATATGATCTTAACTAAAATTTGTTATTAATACTAATGATAAACTGCATACGATATCATCATCAGTCGGTGAGTCTGATGCGTAATCATCATCATTTACGTCTTAATTTTATTTTCTACCCTTTCCATGTTCAACATTTAGGGCTACCTTGTGAGATTTCATAAGTATGCTAATGGATCTTTAATTTAAATTATTACTCAATCATATTATATCTTTAATTCATGAATATTATCCGACCACTATTTTTTCAAATCTTAGATTGAAGGGGTTTTGGGGTTTTGGGGAGATGTGA